TAATATTCAACCACCAGTAACTACCTAGTTTTACTAAGCACTAGAAGGTACAGCCTGCCTGAGTGACAACATGCAAAACAAATCTGTCATGTATGCAACTACTATTATGAGCTAAATAGAAATAAAGTATTTAAGAAGGATTTAATGTTTCAGGTTTCAGAATCCTAAATACCAGTTACTCAGCTGAAGCGTCTTATGCATATCCACAACTGTCCATTTTGCAAAGCTCACTCATAATTACCCCCAAAACTCTCTGTCGGAGTTAATAATAAACCCTAACTTTCAATATAGTTTTCAAATTGAATTTTCAGTCTTTGACATTGTTTTTACCTGCTTTGTGAAAGCAGTGCTCTCTTGATACTTAATAAAAAGCCCATATAGGTAGCTATAAAAGGACTAGCACAAAAAAAAAAAGAATCGTACTCAGAACCTCCTCCCTTCTTCTGCCCAAGTGTTCCCAGCTCGGTGTTTGGGCAGACAGGGCCATGGGAATGCCAGGAGCAGTAAAATGAAAGAAAGGTTATTAAAAAAGAGGGAAGGCAGAGTGGAATATACACTTGACTTAATTATGTCCCACCAGAAGCCTACCTAACTCCATATTCTGTCCTTAACAGAGGCCAGAAATGAGAGCAGAGCAGACACAATGCGGACAGCATATATGATATTTCTGCTCAGCATTCACCTCATCTCCAACAATGTGCAGCCCGAGGAATTCTGAACTTTGATGTTTTCTTTACATACTTAGTAATTCTCAGTTCATTTCTCTTCCACAGACTGAACACAACTGAAATTTTAGCACCCAGAATTTCCCACAGCAAGGAGTTCCACAGATTACTCAGATATTGCACAAAGAACCAGTGTCGTACAAAGAGCCACGCCTCTTGCTAATATCATCTGACGATGCACATTTTTCAAAATGGAGGCAACAAAGAACATTTGCAGTTTGCCCGCTCTCTCCAGCCACCCGTGACCTTGTTTGTATCCCAGTCTGACCTCAAAAGGGACCCTGCTTTAAGCAGGAGGTTGGATTTGCTGATTTCCTGAGGTATCTCCCAACCTGAATTACCCTGTGATCCTATGGTTTTATAGACATCTGTAGTTTTCCTCCACAGTTTATCTTTTTCCATCCAGAAGAATCCCAGCCAACTTAGTTGTTCCTTATACAGAAACCAGCTGATACCTTTTGAGGGTTTTTTTCCCTTCTCTGGTCCTACAGTAGCCTTTCTGAGACAGAAAATCAGAAGCACCCACAACATTCAAGATGGAAGAGATGGCACAGATTTTTGCAGTAGATTCACCATGTTCCCTGCTCTCCATTCCTTTCCTTACAATTCTTAATACTTGATCTGCTTTTTCAACCAACATTATGTACTGAGATTATACTTTCATAGAGCTTTTTATTAGACCTTAACATCAAGGTGTCATTCTTGTGTGGTAAGAGCTTAGCATTCATCACTGTCTATGGAAAGTCAGGACTGGTTTGATTCTGAGCTCTCAATAGTTCTCCTTTCAATGGGAAAAGTAGCTGAAGCGTGCAGATTGTAACCTCTTGCTGGTGAAAGAGTCAAAATTTTGTAGTTTTTCAAATTTCTGAAAGGGACATATTCAAGGCACTTGGGTGTTGCAGCACACAATGCTGTAACACTCCTTGCTTTCAGGAACCCAGCTGCTGAATAGCATGAGCTCCTTCACAAGCCCAGAATCAGCACTTGTCTACGGAAATCAGTGAATGGGGAGAAGTGGGCACCTAAAGATGGATTCACAAACACCCACTCACTGAATATGCCAGGGAGAACCAACACAAGGTGCTAAAGTCAGGGCATGGATTTTGGTCTCACCTCTCAAAGAATGTTTTCCTTCTGCTCAGGTTTCACAGCTCTAAGCTCTTAGGTACTCCTAGGCACCTAATCAAGACAGACCCTTCTCAGAAAATAAAGAGTATTAGATGTTGTATTTGCTAATCTTCTTATTCCTCACTACAGAAGGTGTAGGGGCTCTAAGTGCAACTTCTCACTGACGAGATACAACATAAATGCTGTAGCCACCAGCATCCGCAGGGAAGAGTATTGCTCTTTTTTTCCAAAAGCACAAGACCAGTGTATGAGCTAGGACTGGAGCATCAGGTGTCCCAGCCAAGTGCCCCACCCTCCAAAGGAGGGTTTTGCTTCTTGGCTAGCAAAACCATTTGGTCTAACAATCAGCACTGACCTACACTGCACCAGCTGGTTGGTACAGCACTGTTGGGATGGATATGCTGGAAGTTCACATTAGTTTACAGATAACCACTGTCCTTTAACATTAAAAATTCCATGGCCCAATGGTTCTTTTCCTGAAAACAACTACCTAGGAGGTTTTTATAATGTATACAAGTCAGTTAGGGGTATGATTATTTTCATATTCCCATTTAAAATATAAATTCAAACAAAGTGTATAGCAGAACTTGTCTTCAGTTGAAAAATGTATACATTTACTTATGTTACTTTCAAAAGCAATTTCCTAAAAAATAAGCAGTTGTGAAGAGCCCAGAAATGCCATCGCTTGTAATCAGCTCTCTTTGGTACGTACCATATTGAATATTCTGCTCATCATGGAAGCTAAGCAAATATAATGCAAATTTAGTAGATTTCATGCAGGAGGCAAAGGGATTTGGTTAACATAAAATTCAGTGGTCACTAATTCCACCTCCCCTGTCCCTTTCCACCCAAGTAACACAAATATTTAAATTCCTCAAATGGTAAAGTTCAGCATCTTGAGCCCTGTTAAATCTTATAAGCCAAAGTAAATTCCATTTCTCTGATTAAACAGAGAGTATTTACAAAGATCATAAATAAACATGGTGTGTGTCGTTCTTGTTCTTTCATACCACCTGACTAAGCACTTTTTACTTTGACATCATCCAGAATGATGTTTCTGCTACTCATTTTTGTCCTAAATAAAAGAAAAGGCAGTCCCTGATGAGGGTAAGGGAATGTAACATTTCAGGCATGAAATCTCACAAGAAGGTAAAAATAAGCCTGTGCCTTGCCCAGGGTCTCTCTGTACCGCCTTTCTGTCATGCTTTCCTCTTATTTCCTTCCTGATCACAATTGTTTTTGAAGTGAGATACTCCCTCCAAGATGCTCAGTACAGTTGACTTTAGTACTTTCCACCGATTCTAATATATCTTTACATAGAAAAATGTCTAAGAAAAAAAAAAATATAAACAACCCCTCAAGTGGTATAACTACTGGGGAAATACCATTAGAGAATCAGTCATGTTTGCTAGTATAAGAGTTTTAGCCCTCATTCCCTCAGTGGTCCTCCATAGAAAATTAAATGCTGTATTATGAGAGCCCAACTAATTGATTTTTTCAAAAGACTTGTGGTAAAAAGCCTTGTAAAAGTTGCTGCTTACAGATAACAATACCTGTCTCAGATTAAGACATATTCCTTGAGTGCTGGGAGAGTTTTATCTCACGTTTGCTGTTTCACTGTCTTCTTATTCCCTCTTCTGGAGCATTTCATGCCCAGTTTTACATCTCTGGAGTCAACAGGACTGAAGACAGTGGGCACAAAATGATGCCCTGGGTGCTGGCCACCATCAGACTCAGGATATTTGAACATACAAAGCTGAGGACATGGGTAAATTAAGCCAATTGACTTCACCTCAACTCAGTAATGAACTATGCAATGGCAGGAGAACAGTCTCAGAGCCCACCTGAAGTTTGGTAAGTCATCCATCATATTTTTAGATGCAATTATCCACTGCAGCTCTCCTCAAAATAACCACCATATAAAGAAAAAACATCACCATTTAAAAACAAAGACCACTGAAGTATTTATTCATGTTCTAAACAAGAAAACAACAGCAAACTTTGAAAAACAGCACAAAAATTAAAACAACTTTGAAAGCAATAAAAGGAAATGCAGCACTGTTAGAGTACAGATCTCACTGCTGCCTTCTGATGTAGTTCTCAAGACCATGGAATCACACTGTTGCATAAGGAAACACAACAAAATGAAAACTGAGATCTTTGTCTCATGACTGTCACTGCGCTTCTGTGTGCAACAGCAGGCTGAATACTGGTTAAGCCATTTCAAGATTTAGATCAAAACTCCATACTCCATACAAGTTTCTTCAAAAATAGCAATATCAAAGTGAAGAAAGTTCAAAGATAAGGCTGTTATTTTGTTTTATGAGTAATAAAAATGTATAAATGATAAAAACATCATAGAAAAGGAATATATGTCCTTGTAAAACGAAAGCACACTGCCACGGGAGTGAATTACTGGTATTTTTAACACAGCAACTCAAGCTTTCACAGCAAACAACTACTTTACAGATTCTAGTTTTTCATTTTAATAAGCATTAAAGATCATAGGAGGCAGCCAAGAGTTATGTAGTATCCTTTCCACCAATGTGCCTGTGCCATGTAATGTGCATTTGCAATGATCAGAAATTTAAATCACTGTGTACTAAGTCCCAGAAGCTGCTGTTCAAGTTAATCCTGACCCAGCAGAAGAGCCAAGCACATGCTAAACTTTGAGTAAATAGTCCCAGCTAACTGTCTAATCACAATGCCCCACGCTTTTCAGAACAATGATGTAGAGCCTGTCTACAATGGAATCAAAGAAAAAAAAATAACCTGGCATAGCAGGAGCAACCCATATTTCATTTGCCTTGCTCAAAATGACAAGATAAACTGATTACTTCTAACTTGCTGCTGCAGAAGTTGCAGCCTGAATTTGCAGGAAGCCAACCACTTCAGAATAAAGACAAAAAAGTTACCTCTTATTTATAGCAAAGCAGGAGCCTACACACCAGGAGCTACTGCAGTTAGCTGACTGAGCTCACACATTAGCTGGTGCCACTGTAGCTTGCCTGTTCACCCATACCTTAAGGTGTTAATAGCCTTGCTCTTCAGAAGTTGTTGGATTCTTGTTTTGTTTGTTTAGCCACCTAGATTTGTTATGAACTGAAAAACAAAGGAGAATTAGGAAAAGAAAGAAAAGCATGTTACCTGAAGGCCCTCTATGGCTAGTCTAAGCATGCTTGGTGTGAGCTTGGAGGCCTGTTTGAAGGTGAAGTTGCTCCAGTCTATAATCAAAACAAATCCATTCACTTGAAGTTCAGGGTCTTCTATCATGGCTTCTAAAGAAAGAAGTATGGCACGCAAAATATCCACCAGTGTGTACCTGCGAATGTTAAGGGGAGATTCAGTTAGGAAAGAAGCAACAACCATGGACGTGGAGAAGTTCTGAGCATTATTCCTTTGTACTGCTTATCAAAAGTTTAAATCAAAGGAGTGCAAAGGTATCTGAAGAAGTCATGGGTGTGTAAAGCTGGGAAAGTCTTAAAAGCTCAGTTAGTTGAATGCATCCTCTGGAGCAGAATTATGTACATCTAGACCATTACCCAGACAGAACAAACTACAAGAATATAACACACCAAAAGCAAATTTGAACTTACCTATAGTCTCCTAATGTGCTTTAATATCTATGCATTTTATTAAATGTCTGTGGTATTCATGGGTGATTAAAACACACGCTTAGCCTGAGGGAAGGAGGTTTACAGACTCATATTCAGGGTCAGAGCTACATTCAGAGCACAGCCAACCACCTTCAAACCCCTGGTTACCTCCACAAGGTGGTGGAGGTCTCAGAAATACTATTTTTTTTAATCACTTAATGAAATTAGATGGATATACACCCTCTAGGAGGCCTTCCCAGGGAAAAAGTTGCACTGGGAAAGAAATTACATCAGGTAAGATGTTGGGAGAGCAGCTAATGCCTCAGTCTGAGGAAGATCGTTTATCAGAGCTCATAGAAGAAACAGATTTTAGAAATTCTCAAATCCTAAAATTAGCCTCAACCCCACTTGATATTTATGTTGCCCCATTCAGAGGATCTCATTCTCCAGGAGAGGAGCACCATGAAGCAGAAGGCTCATGCAAGCACCCTACATCCATTCCAAGAAGATGGGTCCCAAGTTCCTGACGTAGATCTTTGACGTTCTCTCTAGGGAGTTCAAGAAGGCATCACATGCCTTGGATTAACAAGTTCCTAGTGGCACAAGGCTGCTAGAAGTCTGGTGCATTAGGCATAAAGACTCCTTGTTTATGAGGCCAATCAGATCCCTAAGACTGCCCATGAAATGCTTTTATATACACCTGTGATAAATATACAGATGTATACATGTAAACAAAAATACACTTAATTATGTCCTGAATTCATCCAAGTCAATGGAAAAACTGTCAGGCACCAATGAGACCAGGATTTCAGCCACCACGCAGGGCTGGGCCTCCACAAATCTATGGCATATTCACCATCACTATAACTCCCGCTGCAGGTTTGCTTAGTGTAAGAAATACAGTCCACAACAACAATAATGACATTGTATGTTTACTCACTGAAAAAGACAAAAGTTGTCCTCTCAGTGAAAACAAGACCTGAAGAACGCAGGTCTAGCTAAAAGCAAACAAGAACACTTTCTGCCAAAGGGAGGTATCTGAAGTACTCTTTAAGTCTAAAAACCCACATCAGGAACATACAGGGAAATGTCACTAACAACCAAGCTTCACACCTCAAATACTCTTCAGGGCAAATAGTTGAAGACAGGAGTTATCCTTCATTCTGTAGCAGACCTCTTCTCTTGGTTTTGATACCTTACTTAAGTACAGTACAGAAAACCAGACAAGAAAGACAAATCCACTAGTGAATATTTAAAGCAGCTTTTACTCTGGACACATGCTGAGGCAAGCCAGAAATGTAAAACCAGTGTGACAGATGAAATTTTAGGTGGTACAAATGGCAAGCTGAATACTGAAAGTATCAGCTGAACAGCCCAAGCAAATGAAACATCATTACAGAAACTATACTGAAGCTTTCACACAGCACAGAGTTATTTGCATAAAGACTGTTCTTTAATCTACTCCAGCCCCGTGCTGTCCAACATTTTTCCTCACTGCTACTATTGTTCATGTCAGCACCAGAATGCACAGGCTCTGCCATGAAATATACTCCATCCTTGGCTGGACTTCAGGGAAATTAAAATCCTATTTAAAAAGAAGGTCGGAAAAATTACTCTGAATTGTGTTGCTGAAACTTTTATTCCACGCTGAAATTACTTCCCATATAGATACAGAAATATAACCAATCAAAAGTGAGAAAAACAGGATATACTAGTGAGCGTGGAACAAATTTGGTCCAAGATGACTCTGATTGCCTTTCTACTTTAAAGGAAAAAAAAAAAAATTTAAAAAAATCATCAACATATTAGCCTTTAATTTTAAGAGACCATGGTGTTCAGTCCAAGGGGAAGATGACATTGTTCTATTCTTACCAATCTGTGTTAAGTAAGAGTGTGTATTTAGGGGACAGCAAGCCACCCATTTTGCCCTGGCCCCACTTTTACAATGACTGATCCAGTGTTGTCAGGCACGTAGGGTGTGCTGGGCCTGATTTGCTGTACTGTATGTTCTGTAGCAGTCTGGAATTAGGCTGTGTAGAAATAAATCCTTATTTATTTATGGCTAAATTCAGTTGCATTCACTTGTTTAAACAGACTCTTTTGGGACATATTGTAGCTAGCAAGGTACTACTAACTGCTAGGATAATAGAGAACTCGTGGTTCATTTAAATTTATTTGATGCCCTCTATTTATAGAAGCATGCTTAATTCAATGGAGAGCTTAGACAACTTTTTCAGCCCAGTTGTTAATGTGAATAACAAATGCTGGAAATATGTTATCGCATATACAACGCACTCTTTATGTTCCTTTACTATGTGAGTCCCAGACTGAGTTCAAATGTGGTGGGGACTGGTGTGCAGACATACTCTGCTACCTCTTGAAATTTTTCATTCAGGTTGACTTTAAAGCAATGAGCCTGGGAAGGCTTGACAAGTTAATAGCCACACTGACAGTGATTCTTTCAAAGGCTTTGGGATGGCTACCATTTCTACCATGACAGCAACAGAGCTTTCTAGGGTAATGCCTCACTGATGTCTTGATTTGTCAAGAACAGAACAGTTCAAACAATTAACTAAGCATCCCACTCTCTTGTAATTTAACAGTGGCAGCAACTTCCCCTTCACAGAGAAGTTATTTGAGAATTTTTTTATGGGACACCAACAGATTCAAAGTATTTCCCAGGATTTGCGGGAAAAGCAGTCTGGCAGACACTGCTATCAACTCTTGGTAGTACTTCACTATGATCCTTCACCTTTACCTCTTAGTTATGTGGTCTGTGCATCCCCTTTACTTCCAGAGGCCACTGTGATTTCCACCAGGCCAACAGAAAGAGACAGGCAGAATGCAGGGTACAGATGTCTCATGTCAGATCCAGCTGTGTCAGATGTTTTCAATGTTTTATGTTCTTGATGATGGGTGGCATCCACCACATCATCTGTTTAACCAGATTCTGGTTCCAGTTGATTCACTTGGGCACTGAATAACAGATAATGTGATTTGGCAGAGTTGCCCTACTATCTCTATTGCTATTTGTCATCTCCTCCCTGATAACAAGAAATTTCAAGTTATTTTGAGAATTAAAACTGAATGGCATGAGTCTGCCTCTCAGGATACAAACTGTTAACTAGAAGAGATGGTAGAAGAGAATGGTGAGTCTTCTTTGCTTGAGTTTAAGCCACGTGTGTCCTAAATGTCACAAACATGTAAGAATCTGTATTTTGAACTCATCACGATTTGGTCAAGTAGATGTTTCTGACAAATGAGCTTTTTTGACAGAGTGGTTTAAAAAAGAAAGCTGGTCAAGCCTCTGAGCCATCATCTCATTTCTAACCTACTGCTCTGGCTTAATATTTTTAGAATTTCAGTGAAACAAGAGCCCTCAAGATACACGAAGGAGTACCTAGAAATGATGCCTCAGATCTCCTTGGTTTGTCAGTCTGGGTATAGATTTGAATGCTGAATAGATGGGAGATTGAAACTTCTCTTACAGCTATTCTGCTTAAATAGTGGCAGCATGCCCTGGGAGCCCTTGCTCTAAAAGCAAAAAGCACCACCAGTGTTACAAAAATGCGTAGTAAAATAGAAACTGCTTCAAATATTTTACCAGATTAGCTTTTAGATTCGGATTTAATACCATTCATTACTCCTTATGTTAGTCCAGTGTCTAACAGTCACAGTCACAAATGAAGCCTCGGATGATCTAAATTTTATATTAGCATTGATTGAAAAGATCCTTAGTCAAAACACTCACAGCCTAAATACAAGTAATAATAGGCAGATACAAATATCTGGGAGAAAGCTAGGAAACAATAGGACAGCATCAGTCAGCAAGAGAAAGTATAAAAAAAATGACAGTGGTTGCACTAATTAATAACTCATATTTGAAAGATATTACTTCCAAACAAAAATTTACTATATCAACCAGGTATTTTGTTACTGTTAATATGTTATTATTGTTAGCATCGTTATTTATTTTGTTACACTGCCTGCCTCAGAGCTAGAAAAATACCCTGCCAACTAGCCTGTGGTTGATAATGAGCTGAGGAACACACCAGACTCCTAATAGATACAGAATTCAAATTTTCATTTAATGGGAAGAAAATAAAAGTTTCTAGCACTCCTGCACATGAAAGCATAGTTCTGAAAGCAAACCAGAGGACTCCATCTCTGCCCTGCTGTAAATCATCTGATGCAACAGCAGAGCTAAGGGTAATGAGTGCAGTGGATTTCCATCTTCACTGAGGATGGTGTGAGCTGGCTGGGTCACTGTGACACAAACAGGAGCTAGGTATCACTGCACTCCTTCTACTGCACTTTTCTATTGCACTTTCTAGGAAAAATCCTGAGGTAATTAATACCAGGAAGTATTTCAAATAAATATCACCAAAATGGACTGGTTTTCCTAGGGAATTTGTGTACAGATGTCACAAAGCATACAGAAGAACATGCATGACAACAGATCCCTTGCCGCTGAGAGTTGAAGTTAATTGTGCCATTAACTGAAAAAAAACTTCACCAGCTGGACACATTAAGAAAAAGGGAGTCTTCAAGTGCACATACACAACTACAAGCCAAATGTAGCTATGAATCAACAATCTGGAAGCTAAGAGGGGAGGCTGATCCCTCCCCAAGTGCTATCCAGCCTCCTGGCAGGAATGCCACCCGTCTTCACTTTCCCCGCAGTAGAGACAGGATGGGGAGTTAGGTAGGGTCCCATTGCAAAGCTGCTGGACAACTTAATGCATTATACTTCACCTTTCCTTTTTTTGTTTGTTTGTTTGAAATACATGTCTGATTTAGTTGTTCAGATGGTAGGACATCTGGTACAGTTTTTAGGCCCTGCTTTAATTTAATGATTTAACATCTCGTACACAGGCTTGTTTTACCATAGGAATTTTCTACCTCCCACGCTTTTCTTTCTAATTAGAACTATGTAAATCATGGGCTGCTGGTGCTATATAAATCATCTATAGTATGTCTGCTATTCATTTAAATAACAAATTGGAACTTTTTATTTCTAATTGTTACATGCTGGCCATAGTTAAGTTGTACACACATGATAAATTTGCAGGCTTGTTGTGCTCTATTAACTAAGTTTATGAAGCATACAAAGAGGTCCTAACAAGACCAACTACAAAAAGTAATCTTCCCAGTGTTGCTGTAAGAAGAGCACTGGTTTACATACTGTAAGATCTCAAGTTAGTTAAGGCATAAGCTTGAGACATATTGAGCAGCAGCTCTTGTATACGTTCCATACACAATGCTCCCCAGGTTCAGTTGCTGAACATCAGATAATGGAAGACACTAAATTAATTAGAAACGAGAGTGACCTAGCTCCCTTCCCAGATCTGTCACTGACTTGTCATGTGCCTTGGAACAAGCCACTCCCCGCAGCTGGGCTTCAGCTCTCTCCCCTTTGTCTAAGTGGTCTGTCTGAAAACAAATCCCTCGCTCTGGGGGAGAGGAGTACCATTGGCGGGCAGTGCTGAAGAGCAATAGGGACTCAACTGCAAACACAGCCATTAGGTCCCCCTGGGTACCCCAGTCACTTCCATATTACATCATAAATAATAATTTTACCAATAGGACTTCATGAAAAAGATCGTAATAAATTTACTGCTGTGTCATCTGAACTATACATAGTTTAAATATCAGCACATCAAAAATTAAGACGAAAATAAACCTATTATTTTCACATGACAATTATTTTTTTTAAAAGCTATTTTATCTCTGAATTTGAATTTTTGGTGTTCTTTTGACTAATGATCTGAAAAGTGTCACAAAAAGCTCTGGGGTTTTTTTCATTAATGAGGAATAACAGTACAGAATAGGCCACACTACCTTTAACAAGACAACTTCTTCATGGTAGATGCATGACCTAGTAAAATGCCTAAACATCCATTTCTTCACTAATTCTTTGATCAGGATTTTTTTAAGACTTCGTGGAACTGTTTTTAAAATAAAAAGTTGACCTGGTCTTTATGTAGGAAATAAGGAATGTGGGAAATGAAGCCCACTCAGGAGAGTCCTTGGCCCTATCACCACTGCTTCCTCCCTCAGCTTCTTTGACTCCATCTGCCAGAAAAATGAATCAGGAAAAGGACACTGGCTCCAGCTCTGCGGATGTTCATCCACACTTTCTAGTTGTTAGCCTGGTCATGGGCAGTTTTGATTCGTGCCAGGCAGCTTTCTCCCAGTCCCTGGGCGTGATTCACGGGTTAGCCAGGGCCAGGAAACTCCCCCCGTAGGCAGTGTGGATGTGGCCACCCTGTCTGGAGAGGAGCAAAGGCGTGGTGGGCCAGCAGCTTCTCCGGGCAGAGACCCGTCCCCAGCAGCAACACCAACCGCTGCAGGGAGCTGCGGGATCACTCCCTGCAATGGCTATCGACACAGCCTGCAAGAGGACAGCTACACAAACACCTAAAAGGCAGGCTTAAGTAAGCCAAACCCCCGAATTTTGTCCTTTCTGCCGACACTGCTAGCTGTTTGTGCCCTCCTCATGTTTCGAAATAGCTGAGCTGGGGATATCCGCACTGAGCACTCAGCACTGCCTGTGCCAGCCTGGGTTGACTGCACAAAAGATGGTTTGGGTTCATGTGAAGGCAACTGGCAAGATTTTTAGTTTTCTCACCAAGAAGTGCTTCAGAACCCAAACCTGCTCTCAGGTTGGGAACCTAGGGAAATGATGCAGTGCTCACAGGAGTAGCTTTGGAGTTCGCTCATAATGGATTCGTTCATTTACATGTACTGAAAATCAAGCAATTTTTGTGGATGTAATTTTAGACTGCAGGAGAAACTGAGCATGACACCCAATAAGGTACTTAGAATAACCGAATAGTGTCACACAGCATCAAGCTGATTGCTAAAAGAAATGGCCTTGATGGGAGACAGCTCTTGGGTCAGCCTGCTAAATCACATTCAGGCTAGGGGAAACCCTAAAAAGGATCAGAAATTGTTCTAGGGACTGCACTATCCTTCAATTTGCTACTAAAGCTTTGTGTGCTTGGATCTTATTATGCAGGGAATCCACACTTAGAGCAGCATGAGTGGGAAAAAGAAGTGGTTACTGTAACTTCCATCCTGGCATTTCCAGGTGGCTCAGGAAGAGCTTTCTTTAGCTGAGGGAAAGGATTCAGAGCCTCAGCTTCCTGCACAAGCAAACTTCTCAGATCAAAAGCCACGACCGATATTCCTGTTGTGCACACAGTATCCTCCACTTTCTCCTATGGCACATGAGCAACTCTGTGCTGAAGCAGAAAGACCAGCACAGAGATCGCCAGCAGCCTTTGTCAGGGGGGCGAGCACATCATCTACCGTGCCAGCTCAATTCAGTGAAGTGTAAACTTCACATCAGCCACTTGAGAAGAGCACCCGAGCAGTTCCTACTTCCCTCCCAAAATTCGGAGCCTGAAGGATGAGATGGTTGAAAAGGCCCTAAGCCACAAAATACATTTCTCCTTTCTCTTCTCCCTCTGCCTTCCAGGCTGCCGCCCAGCCCTCTGTGGGCAGAGCCGGGTGTGTCCCTGCTGCCCACCCGCCCTCCATCTGCCCTGGCACAGCTTTTCCCACGAATTGTGCGGGGAAAGAAGGGGTTACGGGGGGCTCTGCACTTACCTGCTCTGGTCCCAGTTGGCAGCAAAAAGGACGAGGATCTTCCTGCCGTAGTGGTCCAGGTTGGCCAGCCCCCCGGGGAAGCCATCCTTCAGCGCCTGCTTGATGCCCGGGTCTGTGGCCTTGAAGCTCTTGAACATGTCCAGGTTCTGCTGGCGATATTCAAAGTACTGGGCCAGGAGGCGAAACGCCTCGAAGTGCTGAAACTTCCTGGCCCGTAGGAACCGCAGGATGAAGGCATCGTCGGTGCGGAGGAAGCCGATGTCCGGCCGGGTGATCACCATGTCCCGCACCTCCTGGATGTCCTGGTGCAAGGTGTCGGGGTTCTCGTTCAGCTCCAGCCGGGCTTTCTCCAGAGTCTCCGGGGAGAGACCTGCCTGCAAATGAGTCATGGCGCTGCCCTCCTCCTCCTCCTCCTCCTCCTCCTCCTCCTCCTCCTCTTCCTCCCCGCTCCTGCCGCCCGCGCTCCTCAGCCTCCCGGCCGCTCGCCCCCCGGAGCCGGGGTGCCCCGGCACGGCCGGCCGCCGCTCCCCCGCCCCGCCGGGCCTCGCCCCGCCGCTCCCCGGCCCCGCCGCTGCCAGTCCGGCCGCCGAGCAGCGAGCGGCTCCCAGGCGGCCAGCTCCCGGGGGTGGGGGGGGCTGGCACCGAGACTGCCCCCGGGCTGCTGGCGGAGGCGCGTTATCTCTCCGACATAACGCCCTCCCCGCCGCGGGGTCCGACGCGCCGCATCATCCCCGCAGCCGGTCCGCGGAGGCTCCCAAACCCACCGGGGACGGGGCTGAGGGCTGCGGGTGGCCGCCCGCCCCAACCCGCCGGTACCGGTGCCGGTGCGGTTCTCAGGCCGGGCTGCGGCGGCAACGAGGGGCCCGGTCGCTAGGCAGGGCGAGCGGCTCCCGGGGACGCTCCCCCGGCCCGGGGCTGGCAGGGGGGCTGCCCTCCCCGGAGCAGCACCATTTACGTAAGATCAGCGCTCGCCCCGCTTAAGAAGCGTCTCCGTGGATTTGAGGGAGGGGTAAAAAAAAAAAAAATAAAATAAAATAAAAACCACAAACGAAAACACCACCACCAAACTAAATTTAGAAACAAAAAAATAAAAAAAAAAAAGGCAAAACAACAAAAAGAAACACAGCGAGGAGGAGGAGGAGGAGGAGGAAGGAAGCCGATCCGCAGGTACGTGGCCGGCACCGGTACCGAAGAGCCTCCCGCCCGCCGGCGCGGAGCCCGGAGAGACAACCGGAGCCTCGGCCTTGAGGATGCTCGTCCCCGTCCTGCGCCCTCCCCCGCTCCACGCCCCGGCTCCCAGATGGCACCAGCCGGCGCGGAGCCGCCTGCTGCGCGGCCCCGCCCCGACGCGCACCCGCCCCTGCGCGCACCCGCGCCTGCCCTACCGACACCGCCACGCGGGAGCCGCCCCCGCGGGGGAGAAGCGGGTGCGGGGGGCAGCGCGCACGCGGCCGTGCTCCGCTCTGCCCCGCGCAAGCGCCGCGCTGCGCGTGGGGGCCGCGCAGAGCCGCGCCGCGCCGGGGCTGCGCTGAACGACGGGGGGGGGGGGGGTGCGCGGAGGCGGGAGGGGGGGGGGCGGCTGTAAGCCCCCAGGGAGCACCCCGCGGGAGTCCGACCAAGGGCCCGCGTAAATCTCGCGGGTCGCGACAGTGGCGAGGCGTCGTGCGCCGAGCGGCGGCTTTACTTGCGGTCCTCTCTGCTGGCGCGGTGTCTCAACACAAAGCATCGTGAGCTGGAAAGCCTGGGAAGAAAAAAAAGCAACCCCCTCCGGTTTTGCCTCATATTGGGGGCAGCGCGCCTTAAGTTGTGTTATACTGCAAAGAGAGGAAAAAGAAAAAAAAAAAAAAAATCAAAAATCTTGCTTCTGCGTATTGAGCATTTCGGTGTGGAAAGGTGCGTTTTTTTTTTCACGCAGGAAAGTTTGACTGCTGCAGTCTGCTTTCAGGAGAAGTTCCCACTGAGGAACATTTGACCTTTGTCCAAGGGACTGGACCTCTCCGATGCAAATACACCTGGAAATGAAGCGTACAGGAGAGGGACAGCAAACACAAGGAAGCCCCTGGGATGTTTCCTCCTCCTCCTCCTCCTCCTCCCTGTAGGAAGCGCAGCGCTCTGGTGCTGCGCTGGGCTCCTTTCCCGGGGTGGCACAGCCAGAGCACGCGGTTCCCAACGGCTGGAAAGGCACCGAGGCCGCTGATCCGTACCGAGAGCACGTGTGGGGAAGACGCCAGTGGGAAGTATAGTACGTGCTGTGAGGCAAATAAAGATTCTCATCGAAACGCTGAAGTGGGGGCCTGCGTTTCCTGCAGGCCATCGGCGGGTGGCAGGGGTGACCTCGGCGGGTGGCAGGGGTGACATCGGCGGGTGGCAGGGGTGACCTCGGCGGGTGGCAGGGGTGACCTCGGCGGGTGGCAGGGGTGACCTCGGCGGCCGGAGGGCAGCCCCGGGTGAGCGTGTTCTGAGCGCGAGGCTGTGCAGCGAGCAGTAGTTCAGCAGCAAAATCGTCGTTCTTCTGGGAGCTGAAGGGAGTTTTGGGGTCTTGCAGGGTTTTATAGGGTTTTGCAGTTCTTTACCAGATCCCTTCTTTGTGCCAAGTGGGGGGCTGGGTTTTGCCTGTTTCTTCATAACTCCCCGATCTCAAAATACCTGCAGTATGGCTGGCTGGAAGGGCAGACAGAAACCCCAGCCAGCCCTTCCTCAGCTGGGCACCAGACTTCTAGTGGCCTAGCTGAAGGCAGAAGCTGTTGGAAGGACCAGTCTGATAGTGCCCAGTCATCGTGGTCCAGCTTTATTTCACCTGAATTTCACTATGTGCTTTGAGATGCCTCACCAGAGAGAGAGATATGCAGCCTACCTAAGGACTGAATCATGCTCTAGAAATGCTTACTTCTCTTTGTCTGGTAAAATGCCTTTAAATTATCCCCCTTACGTAGATGTGATTCATCTGGGTTGATAACTTTTTCTTAGAACAGTTCTTGCTCCAGAAATATATATTTTTTTTATTCTTTTCTATTATTTTTAAATCTTCCTTTTCCTTTGCTATTGCATGTTTCTCTGTATTGCTTCTATATTCCTCAGCAGAGACCCTTTGAGAATAGCTGTTTCCATCACCCCTAAGGAACCAACAGCCAGATTTTTCCTGCCATCATTTTCCATTTCTGATGCTACTGCTCTGCCATTTCCACTGCAACTAAGCTAATAAAAGAGTAGGTCATATGACAAGTGCCTCAGATTCAGTCAGTGCAAGGCAAGATGCAGGCGTTCAGTGTCTTGCAAAATCAAGTCCATAATATATCCTGTCTGTGACCTCCAGTAGCACTTTCCTTAATTTGCTTTATTTTTCTTTTGCAAATGGAAGTATACACATATATTACATTTTTGCATGTATTCCAGCGCATAGATGCACTGAACAGAGAAAAGAAGTGAGCTGGCTAAAATTAAAGTACTAACAATTTTGAAACTACGGAAAAGGTTAATTCTAAATACTCTTAATTTAAAAGATATATATATATATATATGTTTAAAAAATACATGGAATTTTATCTGAAAACTTTCAGTATTGTTCCACTTTTTGGTTTTCCCCATTTTGACCATATTTAAGCCATTCCTCTTCTTACCCTTTTAAAAATAAAAAAGCACAGAAAAACGCAGGGAAAAATGTGGAGGAAGAGGGTAAAAAAAAAAACTAGAAGCCAAATATATCCACTAATTTCATCAAAAACAATCCAATTTCTGTACACTTCCTTTTCAAAGCAAGATTCAGTATCCACAAAAATGGATTGAATAATTTAACAATTTCTAACATGTACTTTGCCACATTAAATTGAAATTCACCAAATATTAACATCATTTCAAGAAAATTGTTTGGCAATGAATTGTTGAAGCATAGATCAAAATGCCCTCATCGTGAAGAAGGTGGTTTACACAGCTCTTTCCTGACCTGAGTAGATTTAGAAGGTGGGCGCTACAAAAAGCACATGCAGCAAGGCAACCTGGAGGTAAAGTAAATCAAAGAACAAGATTTTGGTCATGTTCTACCTAAGCCACAGATGGGGCTTATTATGACGATAATATTTTTTCAATATTTTGTGATCTTGCATGTAAACACATGAAAATTTTGTTTTAAATATAAATAACTTGGTAGGAGCAATAAAAAATGTTTCTGTCATCTATAAGCAGATTTATCAAACCATTTAAACAGTATAATGAGGAAATATGTGTTTTCCAATATGTCATCCTACCTAAGTCATAAGGGGGAAAAAAGAGCCACTAATGCAGTTAGATGCAACATACTGATGGCACAGTGTAATTTATTTATTGTGCATATGCACTTTTCCCTCTATAAAACAGTAGGGGTGTCTGACTAAATCCATTATGTAAATCTCGGTATCTTTTCACTTGCACTTACAAACTATTATTTTTCTTTGATGCTTTTACAGTCACTTTTACCTGAACTTCATGCAATTAAAATCCAAGCGCCCTGCAATCCTATAAGCACTACAATTAGGCACCTAATTTGAAATAAAACACAAATAAAACACAAAGGTGTTTGTGTAGGTGTTTGATATCAGAGGTGCTTATTCACATTGAGAAGGAAATTCTTTAAAATCCAATAGACCAGTGCATTCAGGAGCAAATAATTGAACACAGGAATAAAACTAATCAAGACAACTACTAGATGGTGAATAAGGAAATAACTGTATTAAGGCCAGTGTTGATACCTCACTTTCTCTGGCGTGGCTTAAGACTCTAGGCAGCTCTTGCTGTTGTCTTTGACTTACAGTTACACTGTCCTCAGCATTCTGCTCTTATGTACTGCTTCAGGACAGCTGTGCATATAGGATCAAATTTCCAAGAGAGTTTGTCTTACTTAGCTGTGATATAGTTAAAAAGATGGGAAATATGTTTGAAAGTACATATAAACAGGAATATATGCTTACATCCATTCCTCTTCAGCAGTGTTCTAGAACTGAGCTCTGTTGGAAATCTGTCTGCAACTTCAGATGCTGACTAGCTGAAAAATCGGCTTCTGAGAGCAAACTAGTCATCTCTTTTATTCATCATAATAGGGCTCTAACAACATAAGGATAAATAGCCTTAGAGTAGACAAGGGATAGCATCAGATCCTAATCAGAGAAATATTTCAGCATGACAAGCCTACTCACAGAATCATAAAAAATAAAACTGGAAGGGATTTTAAGAGATCACCTAGTTTATCTATCCCCCATCCTGATGGATGTTTGTCTGAGTGGTATTTAAAAACCTCCAGCAGCAGATACTCCACAGCTTCTCTAGACAGCCTGTCCCAGAGCTTCAGTATCCACGCAGTATGCTTTTTCCCATGTCTAGCAGTCGTGGTTTAACCCCAGCCGGCAGCTAAGCCCCACACAGCCGCTCGCTCACACCCCCTGGGTGAGATGGGGGAGAGAATCAGAAGAGTAGAAGTGAGAAAACTCATGGGATGAGATAAAGACATTTTAATAGATAAAGCAAAAGCCGTGCACAAAAGCAAAGCAAAACAAGGAATTCATTCCCCACTCCCCGTCAGCAGGCAGGGGCTCAGCCATCCCCAGGACAGCCGGGCTCCATCACGCGTAACAGTGACTTGGGAAGACAAACACCACCACTCTGAACATCCCCCCCTTCCTCTTTCTTTATATGCTGAGCATGACGTCGCATGGCGTGGGATATCCCCCTTGGCCAGGTGGGGTCAGCTGTCCCAGCTGTGTCCCCTCCCAACTTCTGTGCACCTCCAGCCTCCTCGCTGCCTGGGCTGTGTGAGGAGCAGATTGCGCCTTGATGCTGTGCAAGCGCTGCTCAGCAATAGCTAAAGCATCTCTGTGTTACCAACATTGTTTCCAGCACAGATCCAAACTATAGCCCCATACTAGGTACTGTGAAGGAAATTAACTCTACCCCAGCCAAAACCAACACACTGACCTATCTCTTGCTGCAGTTTAGCCCGCTGTTTTTTATCTTATCTTCTGTAAACGGACAAAATAATTTATTTCTTTATTTGGAGACTGGTATGAAGTCTCAGATAAAATCTCTCTTCTTCTTTCTTTGGCTGCACAGCTACTGTTCTTTCAACTTCTGGCATTTAAAATACTTAAGATGCATAGTATGAAGGGATGGTTGTGAGCTGGGCATTAGCATCATGGGAACAGTATTTTGATGGGCTGTCCTCTTCTATCTACGCAAGGTCTTCACGTGCTGTTGTTACTGTTGGAACAGACAGTCTTCCAGAGGTGAAATTCTAAGTTGAAATAATTAACCTATGATTTAGAAAAGTCAGCATCTCACAAACATATGATACACAAAAGTTTCACACAGCATTAGCACCTACACAAAGTATCTTAACAGC